TGGTAGTGTATACTACACATATAGTATATATATATATATATATATATATATATATATATATATATATTGTAAAAAAAACATTCTTCAAGTTAACCCTAGAATATCTAATGGAGGGCATGGAAAGTTTGCCTTTAAAGATGTGTGGTCTAAGATTAACCTCTCCATCTATCGTAGGTGCTTGTTTCACAAGATATTGTAGTGACAGCCAATAATGCATATTTATGGCCACCAGAATGAGTGTAATTGACAGTGGATAAAATAATAGTCCTGTTGGAAATACTAAATATGTAACATCTTTCTTTTAAAGTGCAATTAACTTGCAACAATTACACTAAATTTCTTGTTTACTCAAAAAAAAATCTAGTTTTTCACACTTTAACTTCAATATTCTTTGCTAAGACTAAGTTGAGAAATTAGTTCTTGGTGTACCATGTTGGTGAGGGAAATAAAGATTTAGTATTTTTCAGTCTTTTTTATTTTTTACAGTCTTGAAAAATGATGTTTCTCATACAACATGTACCCTTTTGTGTCCATAATTATATCCTGTTCTGTAAAAAATATTTGATTCTGTATTTAAAAAGGGTGTGCTTTGTTTTTCTCATAAGTAATTTTATACTGACATTGCCACCTACGTTTGGTATTTTAGTGAAGATTAAAAACTAACTGTTAATTTCACTAAATTTAAAATTCATTGTTTTAAAACTTCTGTTTCAGTTTATGGTCAGAAAAGCAGATAGAGAAACAACAAAGAAAGCAGGGAAAGAGAACAAAAATAAGAAGTGAATCTCTTGGTAGTCTAAAGAAGTATCCTTGCAAAAGATTTAAAACTGTAAGTATCTCCTATTTATCCGTATTTCAGATAATCTTAGGTGTATTTTGTGTATAGGAAAATAATTCATATTTGTAAGTTTTATTTCTTCCTGTAAAGAGGGCATTTTTGTCATTTTAGAGACAAAGTATTTCTTGAAAAATTTTAAAATAGTTAATAATTTTTTGAGAAAGTTTGGTATAATTTAAATTTTTTGCAGCAACATCAAGTATATCAACAGTTTTAAGCTGTTTGTTCTCACTGCCTATTTAGTTACATTGTCCAACTGACCAGCCACAAGCAAATTCTATTTCAGTAATGTCCGAAACTTTATTATCAAGTAAGCATGTTTGTGGTTTTGTTTGAACTGTAAGCTATTTACCTGTCTAATACCAAGAAAACAAAATCTTGTAAAATTTCTTGGGTTTCTACTGTAGGGAGAATGTGGATTTGGAGATAAATGCAGATATTCTCACAACTTTGAGGACAAAGAAGCAGAAGGAAAGAATGAGAATTACTTAACTCAAAAATAACTACTATCTAGACACTTTGTTGGGAATCTGGTGTAAATAATCAGTAGGTTTAAGTTTTGATCAAATGGTATTAAGTCCACAGTGCATAAAAGTATGATAAACATGACTGGAAAAGAAAGACATTTTAAAAAACAATTTGTCTCTTGTGAATGTAACTGTATATTTCTGTGTTGTTTAGTTTTGTAAGGATCTTGTAAAATAAAACTAAGCACAAATCCTTGTGTTTTATGGTACATTGATGTGATTACTAAAGATTATTTACAAGGCAGGTATATTTTTTTAGTGTTATTAGTACATGAGTTTAAAGAATACCATGCAAAACAGACATAAAACCATATTAATGAAGTAGGAAAAAGCACTACTGTATTATTATATAGACAGGGTTATTGCTAAGGTTACAGATAACTAAGCATTAAAAGAGCTACATAGATCATTCAAGGAACTCTAGTACAGTGTGAAGATAATACAATTGTGTACAAGTTTATATATCGCTGATGGAATTTTGAAGTAGGGAATGTAAACAGCAAGTCCATAGTAACCATTACCAAGAGGATTTCACAAGACCCAGAAACTCAAGTGTTTTCAAATAGTTGACCATTTTTCTTCAGGAGTAAAAAAGGTAAAGGTTAAGGAGTGTGGAATAGTAAATGTGAAAAAGATGTACATGCCACATGAGCTCGAAAGGTGTATCATTAGACAATAGAAATGTTGAGGGCACGTGTTTAGTTCAAGGTAACGAACAATTGATGAAGGTGAAAAGAATTCCATATTTATGTATTGTAATAAAAATAACTATTCTCTGATATATATGTTCATAATATGTGTATGGGTGGTGCTCAAAGTACACATGTCATGACCTTTTAAAGAGTGCTATTCAACATGGTATCATGTGTTTGATGTTAGTGTTATAAACTTATTAATTTCACCATACAATGCTAATTTAGCAATAGTTCATAATAGAGAAAAATATACAGTAGATACAATATACAGGGATACTGAAAAAAAAATGTAGATACGCATTTCAGAGACTAGAGATTATGCAAATGCAAACTGTATGATGGACAAAATATTTTTATTCTTCATATGAACATAACCCTGCACTCTGATTTATCAGAGTCAGACTGAATTTGTCAATTCACAGGCTTATCTTGGGTACAAATACATTAATAACTCATGTGACATTTTTGTTTTACTAAAAGCTTGCCATATTTTGTGTAGATACAAACAGTAAATTCGTATTTATAGTCAACATTCCTAATCCAGTATGTGCTCAGTCCAATAGACATTTGGTTATATAGTCAACATTCCTAATCCAGTGTGAGCTCAGTCCAATAGACATTGCGTTAAAAAAGAAAAGAACTTGATTCTAGAGACTAAACAAAAAAAATGTAATAAAAAGATAAAAATTTAAAATGAACACCTTTTTTTAAATACACCAGATACAATATACAGGGATACTGAAAAAAACTACAGATATGCATTTCAGAGGGGAAAAAATAATAGCAATAGAATAGACTAAAACATTGAATAACCCTTCAAGTTTATAAAATGTAATAATAATTGAGAATGGAATGGAAAGTGACTAACTGCAGATTAAATGGAGAGTACGAAGGTGAAACAATTTACTTTTGAAGGTTTTTCAAAAATGTACCAAAGTCGTCAATCTAGGATCATGACTGATTCTGATTGGTGTTACAGTATTCAGAGTTACTGTCCAGAAACCATCCTTAGTTTCTCTCTCTTTTTGATGCAAGTTTAATGTCATCAATGGAGTGGTCAGGCCTACTAAAGTGTTTAGCCACAGAAAATTCTTTGTTTGAGATGTTGGAAGATATGTGATTGTTAAAACATTCTCTTAACAGTTATGCTAGTTTGTTCCACATATCAAAAATTACATTTTTGACACTGGATTTTATAGACAGCATTTTTAATAGTGCAAATTATTGGTTTTGTGATTTTTTTGATTTTTTTTAGTTGTCTTTGGAAGAAAATTGGATAGTAGTTTAAACTTTCAGGCTTTGCAATTCTTGCTATTGCAGGGATAACTTCCATCTGGTGGAGGACTTATAGTTGACCTTAGTAAAATTTAAAGTTTTTTCAAAACAAAATAAAAAAACAGGAGTGTCTAGAAAAATTGATTTTAGTCTATCATTATGCTGAAGGAGGTAAAAGTCTTTCTTTAGGATCTGAGGTGGGTTTCTAAATTTTTGGTAATAGGTAATAACCTGTGGAACACGGGAGTTTTTATCTTGTGAGTGTTTTTTCAAGGCACATTGTCATATAAGATATTGTTAGCTTTCTCAGTTTATTTGATCACAGTGTTGTGATTATAACCTTTTTTTTTCATAGATTTTTATCTTTTTTTAATGAATCATTGTGTCTTTCATAGTTCCTACTGTCAGAGCAGAGTTTTTGAATCTGAGAGCTTGGCTGAATATAATACAACATTTAGTATGTGGTAGGTAACAACTTTTACAGTGCAGGTATTAAGGTATATCGGTTGGTTTTTCGTACAAATCAATATATAAACAATCATCTTTCAGAGTAAGAGTTACATCTAAAAAGGTGATCTGAGTAGCAGAGTAATCCAAAGTGAATTTAATAGAACTATGAAAGGATTTTGCTATAAAGGATAATAAGGAATCTTTGTTTCCCACCCAAATGTCATGGTTAGGACATTCAATCCCCATCCCACTATTCGTTTGTAAAAGAGCAGCCCAAGAGTTGGTGGTGGGTGGTGATGACTAGCTGCCTTCCCTTTAGCCTTTCACTGCTAAATTAGGGATGGCTAGTGCAGATAGCTCTTGTGTAGCTTTGTGCAAAATTCAAATAAACCAAACCCACCTAAGAATCAAACAAGTAC